TGAACTAAACGAACTAATCTTTTGTACTATTCACTTTGCTGACCGAGATTGAAAGATGGAAATCAGCAAGGTGAACTAAACTTCCCAGGTCTAATGCGAGCGTCATTCAACGCATCCAGCATCGCCCATGCCTCGATTGAATCGAAATCTTTCTGATAGTCGGCGAAGGCCATGTGCAGTGGGATGTTGTATTCCGTGATTTTTTCTACTAACGTGCGAACCGCTTTTATATGATCAGTTGTACTGTACCCCTTTCTGAAACCTGCCTGTTCGACTGGCTGGAAAAAGTCGATTTTATTGCTCAGGCTCTTTGTTATTATTTCAGTTAGTAGTTTGCAGATGATGGATGGGCCTGAAATTATCTAAATTTGTGCAGTCGCCTTTCTTGAAGACACTTATTTAGTAACGTCAGTAGTGATTTCCAGAGCTTCTCTCCTCCGGCCTTCAATATCTTACTGGTGATCTGGTCTACTCCCTTGGCTTAAATAATAAACGTTTTCTTGTCTCATATAATACATTTTCTAAATATTCCTTCAAAAAAATTTAAACGGTTGAAATCTGGTGATCGAGGAGGCCAAGCCACGGGTCCTCTTATTCCTGTCCAACATTGTCCTAATTGTGTCTTTAAGTGTTCTCGAACTGCCAGGGTGAAATGGTGTGGCACCCCATCACGCATGAAACACATCGCCTGTCGGATTGCCTGAAAAGTTAAGTCTTGTAAACGTTCTGGCAAAAGTTCTGGCAAGTTGTTCTGGAGTTGGCAGCGGATCTTGGAACAACATAGAAAGTACTGGGGTGAGACACCGCGACTCCTTACCGCATGGCAGTTGGTGAGACCTCTAGAACCATTGCGTAAAACTGAACTGCTTGATCTCAGCAGGCAAAAAATAAGGAGGATAGAAGCCTTTTTAACAGGACACGGCCGCTGCAAAACACCTCTTCGTGATGGGGCTGAGCGATCAAGCGACCTGCCGGGCGTGCGAATTAAAGGACGAAACTACTCTACATATCATGTGCCAGTGCAAGTCATATTCAACAGGAAGACGAAGACTCCTGGGAGGGGATGAAGTTCTACCAGACCAGGTCATGCTTTC